CCGGACGAGTTGTTTAGGAAGGCAGAAGCAGAGGTTGTGTGGGCTGCATGTCAACAGAGGGAAATGGAAATGGAAAAGGTAGGCGTACGGGTGGAACTTAGGGATAGAGGAAGCATGAGGCGACCCCGTAAGAACCATGCGATGTGTGCTGCCCCCCTTCCTAGTGGATGCGGTTTTCGGAACCCGGAGTAGGCTAGTACGGATATGCCAGTCCATGACGAACCTCGGGCTATACCAATGCGCTAGGCAAGATTTTTTTCGGTTACTAGTAGAGATGGGGCCGTTCGAGGGGAACTGGGCGGAGGAGCTGGCCGAGATACTAAACTGCCTTAGCGTAGACAATATCTTTGTCCCTAAACGTTTTTAGACGGGGTAAGGGAGTTGGTGTACGACGAGGAGGACAACTTCAGTGATGAAGATGAAGATGAAGAGATAGAGGACTGGGACTTCTAAGAGGGGTAGGGGGACTTAACTCAGGAAGGACGGGTGGCCTGGTATTGTGCAAGAAAGGGAAAGATGACTAGAGAAGAAAGGATGATGGAATACACCTTCAAAGGTTAGAAACCACGGCGACTCGGAGGAGGAATAGAAATGCCTATACCAACAGGAAACGGATGGAGGGGGACCACGTGCGACTGGATTGGGTTTAAGGTTGCCCGAGACTTGTCATATGTATGGATAGAGCGGATTTGGAACCCGATAAGGGAAGAGGAAGGTTGGGATGATATAGCAGAAGGCAAGGTAGAGTCAGTTGGAACGATTGTCCTTTCCGATGATGGATGGCACATGTTTTGCACTATGTTAGCAATGGGACAGGACCGATGTGGCTTCTAGGGGATGCAGAGGCCCGAACCCGAAAAGAAGGCAAGCAGTTCGCGAACGAGGGATGGGACGAAGTTAGTAGCAGAGTTGTGATGGGAGGATGGAAGGAACTTAAGCCTCTGAGTCTACGGATAACGGCTTGGGTACCGGAGTTCATAGCCGAGTGGTTTGGAGGGTTTGAACACATTTTGGAAGTAGCCGACTCCATGAGAAAGGTGCATATAGAGTGTGTCTGGCTGACTGAGGAGTTCTATAGGCTCTCATTGAAATATGGGCCCTTCTACGGAGATAAAGCCGAGGAAGTCATCATCGTCCTAAGAATAGGCAGGTATGACCGCCTAGAGGTAGAGGCGGAGTCTTGGGACGCCATAGTTAGTCGGGAAGCGGCGGCCGCACCCTCCTACGTAGACGATGTCTTTAAACTATTTGAGGTGTTGTGGTTCGACTAAATGAGTACGAGGGATCGAACACCGGGAAAAGGCCTGAGTGTGGAGGGTGCCTGTGAATTAAGGTGTAACACAAGAAAGGGAGTGTGTACATTAGGCCGTAAGATGGTGCGTAAGGATCGAAATAAGGGGGAAGTGGCAGCAACCGGAAAAAGGGAAGGGGGTAGAATTGAACGTGTATGAGTTGGGGATAGCGGCGAGAACCAGTGTACGATAAGTAGGGAGGACTGAAAGACTAAAACACGAAAGGCATGGAATCTCGGTGGGTGCAGCAATCGGACTAAGAAAGCAGGAAAGGAGACATTGCGAGATGGCCCGGCGAATGACGTTCTGGGAGGATAGACCTCGTGGGATCCTGCCACYWAGAATATCAGAAGGCAGGGTCGAAATAAGCCTGCCGGCAAGAAATGCGGTAAGCAATCCGGTAATGGACTGGGTGGGGGTAGAGTTGGTGGAAGATACGGGTACCTAGTAGTGGAGCTGGAATGGCGTGCGAGAGGGGAGTTCGGGGGCGTAGACTTGAATCGCCCGGGGCGTGTACATGCGACGGGATCCTTACACCTGTCGGAAGAGGGATGGCGGACCTTTGGGATTGCTTTGGCTTCCGGGGATGACCCCGTGCGAATGTTCGAAGGGACATGGCAAATAACCTGGCGGGAGGGGTTTGAGTTTGCAAACCCGGAACGAGATGACGTAACGGCGGAGGTAAAAGTCGCCGCGGCAGGGGCCTTCGAGCTGCCAAATGAGGTCATACGGATGAGTCTACCACCCTTCCTGCTAAGACGAATAGGAGGCATAGAACGAGTGGAGCAAGCGGTGTAAATACTCTGCCAGGAGTCCCACAAATAAGTGAGGAGACCATGTGGAGAGTCATCCGGCGAGAGGTAGGTCGGGGCGCGACCTACATAGATGATCTCTACCGGCTGTACGAACAGCCAGAGGAGTCTACTGCTCCCGGGGGTATAGAGGGATAGTTTGGACTAGAAAAGAGAAATGAAATCACGAAGGGCAAGGGAGGCAGTAGGTGGGCGGATTCTGAAGATTGGTTGTAACCCTTTCTATGTGGACTATGCAGGGAATCACCAAGGTAACAATGGCAGCAAGACGTGAGCGAGTGGAACGCCAGCCCCGTGTGCGAATGGAACGCCAGCCCCCGGACCGCCCTGGAACAACGGTGGACGATGGGAAGTATCCCTCCCGTTGAGTTCTACCTATCGGGGGTTTGACATAGAATGGCGGGCCATGACTTTGGGAAGGGACGCCGCCTTCATGTTGGTAGAATATCGGTGGACAGGGATGAGACTCAACCGAGGACCCGGAGACGATCTGTTTTCCAATCTGGAAGTTACCGGGACCATGTATCTGCCTGAGATCGGCTGGCACTCGTTGGGGGTAGAGATAGCACAAGGTCACGAGCTGGCACCGGTCTTTCGCCCGGACGTTGACCCGAATAGGACAATCGGTCAGCGGAAGAAGGAACGTGGGCTTACTTACCCGGGTGGAAATGGGAGGTTGGAGGGAGTTCAGGGCACCGACCACACCGCTGAGGTGCCGAGTGCCCCGTTTTATGATAGACCTCGTCTTCGGAAGCCTCGCGAGGGCGCGGGAGATGGCAGACTCAGCGATAGTCTGGGCAGGCCACTTTCCCTCCCCTACCATTGGGATGTTCTACGATGTCGCTGTGGAGCATGGGCCGTTCTGGGGAAACAGGGCCCACGAATTACTAGAAGTCATCCACATCCTGATGTTTTGTGCGCCCCGACTAGACTGGACGGGGTGCGAACGCATAATCCAAAGGGAAATTGAGTTAGGGGAGAATTATCTAACGGGGGTGGCTCAACTATTCAAGGAGCCTACCGAACCGGAAGGGCCACGAAGGTGAGAACGAGACTAGCACCCGCAGGCGAGCCAGTAGGGCAGATCAAGCACAGTCCGCTACGTTCGAAGGCCACAGACAGAAATAGGAAAGGGGGGGGCCTCGGACCCGGATGATCAATAACCGCCAGACAGGGAACACCGCGCAGGAAAACTTTTTCTAGCAGGTTGCCCAACCCGGACCCCTACGCACCGACCAACGGAATAAGGGCGCTCTAAACGAGCCGGTGATAAGGGACGCTAAGTCACGCCCTTAGCTCGGTGAGGCAGCAGAGCCGGACGCGGCTCCATATTAAGGAAGCCATCAAAAAATGGGAATGGGGAAAAACCTAATTACCAAGTAAAAGGATAAACCAACAGGATTGGAACCTAGGGAACCTAAATGCCTTGCACTGCGTTTGTTCTGGGGAATCCTTTGGTTATGCAAAGGTAGGCAAGTATGGCAAAGGAGGATGAGACGGGTAATCATGAAAGCGAGGGAGGACCAGGCTTAGGAGGCAGTGCTGAGCAAAGCAAGGAAGGGCAGAAGGACAGGGAATCAGCAAATCCGAATGGCACCAAAGGGAACCGGAAGGAAATGTCCTCAGGAGAGAGCTTGGGAAAAGCCGGGGGAAGCAGACAGGGGACCCAGGAAAACAAGGAGGGCAGGAATAAGGATAGGGGGTGCCCCGAGAACTCGGAGGGAGCTGTGTCTAAGAAAGTAAGGGTCACGGACGCGAGGCGCAAACTAGCAGAAATAGAGAAAAGGACCGCGGAATACAAGGCAAGGTTAATTGAGGCAATGATGATTGGGAACGAGGAAGGCCCTCTGCAGGAGGTACCACGGGACGAACGGAACACCAGTCGGGGCGGAACTGGGCAAGGGGACAAGGGTAGTGACCGTGGGGGAACGCCGAGCAAAAGAAGGAAAGAGAGAGAGAACTCTCCGGGAATGGAAGCAGAGAAGGCGACGAACCCCTTAGCCACAGACAGTAGGGCTAGCCGTCTGCCGGCCTCACCAGCAGCATCGCAAGGATGCAAAGGGCTCTGGAGCCTGAGAGAAAGGGTGTTGGGATGGTTCGACCCGGAAGGAACGGTGAAGACTAGAGGGGGGCAGAAAGCCAGCAAGGAAGGGCCAGATACCAGCGTGGCAGGCGAGGCCAGTCGCTCCGAAGGTGGCCTTAGGAAGATAGTATCATCCCTTACACGAGCACTGAACAAGAATCAAGGCTATCTGGCAGACGCCAAGTAAAAGCTGACTTTCGATGGAGCTAACATCACGGAGTTCCTGATCGACTACGAGAACCTAGTTGCGTTACTAAAGTGGACCGAGGAGGAAAAGATGGACCATCTAGGACAGCATGTGTCGTTAAGCCTAGGACGGGACATAATGGCCATTGTAGCCGCAAGCCGGTCTTGGAAGGAGACCCGGGATGTGATGATGAGGAAGTACCTAGCCGCAGAGAAAATGGCAACGGAGGCCGACCTAGCGACAGTTCAGAGGAAGAACTTTGCAACGTACAATGATTTCCTATGGGAATTTACTCTACTAGCACTAAGGATCCGCGAGGTCACGGACCGGATCATGAGCAAATATTTCCTCAGACAGTTCTCCGAGTTCGACAAAGACAAGATCCTGTCAGCTTACCAACAGACGAGCAAGTTCGTAAACACGCGGGATGTTGATTTTAGCACGGCAACGGATCTGGCTGAGAAAACGGTAGTAACAGAGACGTTGGCCTTGCTCAAGGAAGGAGAGATCATAGATCTGACCGGTAGGACGGGCGACAAGGTAAATAAGGGGATTGAAAGTCTACATGAACGGGTGCACGGGGTCGACAATAAGATTGAAAGGATGGAAGGCGCGCTACTGGTTATGCAGGCGCAAGTATCCCGACCTGCCCTCCCTCCCCAGGAAGCTGTGGTTCCGCCAGGTGTAGCCAACCGGGGATTCAGACGGAGAGATCCTGCTAACGAGCAATGCAAGTACTGTACTGCGATAGGACATTATGTGCGCGCGTGCCCAAAGCTCAACCACGATATTCTGAAAAGAAGGTGTACCAGGTCATTAAAAGGGAAGATATTTGGACCACAAGGGGAACGGGTAAACTGGAACTCGCCAGGCAGGATGCGGCGAGCCATTATCATGCTCAACGGGTTAGAAATAACGGCCGTAGAAGCCGAACCGGTGGGCGAGATCATCTGGGATAAACTCCGGGGGCGCGGGCCGCAGGCCAACTTTATTTTGGAAAACGACGGACGTGATAGGGTGAACGCAACCACTCGACTGGGAACGGCCGGGAGAAGGATTAACCGTGACACCATTATGGAGGAGGTCGCAGGAAGCTCCGAACCCCAGGCAGAGCCTGAGGCCGAGGAACCAGAGAAAGTCTATGGGAAGCCTAGGGAAGAGGAGCCTGCGGACAAGGTTACCGCCACTAAGAAGAAGTTTCGGTATCAAATCCCGATCTTAACCTTGCCTGAGCTCGACGACACCATTAGCAAGTTACAAGGAACCATGGTGTCGGTGTCTTTTCAGACCATGCTGCAGGCTAGCCCTAGGTTGCTCAAAGGGCTTAGACAACTGTTGACTCGGAGGCCAGTAGAAATAGGCGACAACCCTGAATTACCAGAAGGGGAGAGGGAGGAGGAAGCTCCGCAAGAAGTGGCTAACCTTCAGAGGAGTCACGGGGACTTGGAGGATCTCGAAAAAGCCTTTGCAGACATTCGTTTGAGCTTGCCCGACCGGGAGGGCGGCGAAGTCATGAGATCACCACCCGGGACAAAGCTTAGCTTTCATGCACTGCCCGTAGGGAAACTGAAAATCCAGATCGGGACTCATCATACCGACGCGTTAGTAGACGGGGGAGCAGAAATCACTCTCATAAGACAAGATTTCGCAACGATCACAGGATGTACGGTAAACAAGGAAGTAATAGGGAGCATCCAGGGAGCTGGCGGGGAAATCCCGTTCATGGGTACGTCACGAAGTGTGCTGTGAAGGCAGGGATCAGGGAATCAATCTGGTCGTTTCAGCGGATGACCGTAATGGAGGAAATAGACCACGAGATAATCCTCGGGAGACCGTGGTGCGCGAACGTGGAGATGATAGGCATGCACTTGCACGATGGCTCATACCTGGTAGACATAGAGGACCCTGTGACCGGACGGGTAGAGCTCCTCCGACTCCTTGGAACGGGAGGAGACCCTCCGAAGGGGAAATTGGCAACATGGTCACCGTCGTTCGAGGATAGCACGCGAAAAGGGGCTTTCGCACGGATGGAGGGTATGAGAGAAAGGGTAGAAATCATGATTGAGGAAGCATTCAACAAGAAGGAGTGGATCAAGATGGGCATGCCCCAGAAGAAGAGGACGAAGTCCTAGGTGTTATGGTAGCGGAAAAGGAGTCAGAGGTCGAACTTGGTGCTAGCCTGCCCAAAGGGAAAGAAGTACGCATAGACATGCCAGAAATCGCACTCGAGATCCCCGATCTATTACAACTCATCAAGGCCCTCAGATACCACAAGGTAGGGTGGATTCGACAGCCTTGGCCAAATTCAAGAGAGAGGTGCAAAAGGGATATTGCCTGAATGGGAAACTAGTTAGTATTCAACCACGAGTCGTAGAGGCGACGGGGGCGATTCCCACTGTTCATTCTTGAGGAGAAAGATCCCGGAAGGAAGTGTTCGAAAGTACAAGCCGGTAGGGAAGAAAGCAAAACTGGTCTCGATCCTGCTAGAGACATCAAAGGAAGAGGCTATGGAGAAGGAGGAAGAGGTCCTTCGAGTGATCCGAGAAAGAAGGGCGACGGAGGGACATCGGATACCAGATGAGGTAGCTGACACAATGAAGATAGGGATAGATGGGTTCTTAACGGAAGAAGAAACCCGCCTGATCAAAAAGACCTGCCAGGAGTTTCACCTCGCATTTGCCTTTAGTGATCACCAGAAGGGATGACTGGATGCGACGTTGATCCCTCCGGTCAGAATCCACACGGTAGAACATGAGTGCTGGAATGACAAGGGGCCATCCTATGAAGTTGGGATAGCAGGAGAAGTAACAGACCTCCTCCGAGCAAAGATGGAGTCCTTCGTTGCGGAGCCTACGGCATCGCCATACGCAAATCGGTGGTTCGTCTTTCGGAAGCCTAACAAGACACTAAGGTGGATTCAGGACCTGCAGATGTTGAATGCGGTAACCATCCGGGATGCTGGCTCGCTACCTCAGGCTGACTTATTAGCAGAATCGCACGCCGGTCGGAGCATTTACTCCTTGATAGATCTGTACTCAGGGTACGACCAGCTTCCGCTGGATGTTCGGGACAAGCCATACACCGCTATGCACACCCCCGTAGGCCAACTACAGATGCAAGTGACCCCTATGGGATTCACAAACGCGGTGGCCGAAGCGCAACGCAGGATGCTCGYCGTGGYCGGGGACATGTTCCCAGAAAAATGTGAGCCTTACATCGATGACAATCCGATCAAAGGCGCGCAGGAGAAGGACGAGACGGAAGTCCAGCCAGGGATTCGACGTTTTGTGTGGGACCACCAGCAGGACATCAAGGACTTACTCCACCGGTTCCTAGTATACAACATTACGGCTAGTGGACCAAAGATTATCCTAGCAGTACCGGAGGTAACTATACTAGGATTTCGTTGCGGTGCTTACGGCAGGAAGCCGGATCCAGCAAAGACCGACAAGATATCACAGTGGCCGACACCGCTGCGCACGGCGACGGAGGTAAGGGCATTCCTAGGCGTAGTCGGCTTTTGGAGGATCTTTACCGACAAGATATCACAGTGGCCGACACCGCTGCGCACAGCGACGGAGGTAAGGGCATTCCTAGGCGTAGTCGGCTTTTGGAGGATCTTTATTAAGAACTTTGCCAAGATTGTTGAGCCTATCCGAGCTATGATCAGGGAAGAAGGAACCATGGATTGGACGGAGGAGCGAGAAGGAGCTGTCCAAAGGCTCAAGGACATATTGACATCTAAGACAGTCGCCCTGTCTGCGCCCTGTTTTAATGACGAAGTGGGACGACCCTTCATCCTAGAGACTGATGGAGGACCTTTGGCCGTAGGAGGTGTGTTGATTCAAAGGGATGAGGGAGGAAAAGAGAGGCCGATTAGGTTCGAAAGTAGAACCCTGAACTCCGCAGAACGGCGGTACTCGCAATTCAAGAAGGAAGTCCTAGCCATCCTGCATTGCCTTAAGACTTTTCGCGGTTCATCCTCAGGATCGATCCGAYGAATGTTGCAGGGGCCTTAAAGAATTACAGGCCTATAGATCCGACGGTGGGGAGATGGGTAGGATTTATCTGGCAGTTCGATTATAAGATCGAACGGATTGCRGGAATTAGGAACAAGGCTGATGGGCTGAGCCGGGTCTRCATCACTCCCGAAGGGGTGGAGGATGCGGAGCCCATAGACGCGTTCCTCGAATACGAAGGAGGAACTCTTGCGGTGGATAACGAAAGGATGAGCGAAGGATGCACGTCGGGAGAACTATTGATCCAGACTTTGGAGAAGGGGGCACCTGCCGTAGTAACAGAACTTAAAGAAGGACCAGTCACCACTCGAGGACGTAGAGAAGAAAACGACTCATGGGGAGCGATAGTAGGACCGAAAGAGGAGCTTATAGCAATGGCGGTCGAAGGAGGACGGGAAGCAGTGATGAGCTTGGTGGAATCTAGGGAAAGGAAAAAGTTGCAATGGGTGGTAAACCAGATGCGGGAAGGAAAGGATGGGGGCAAGGAAGGAGAGGAGTTTTTATATGTCCAATCATACGAAGGGCTCTTTCGGGAGATCGGGCTGTTATTGGTAGGAAACAAACAACCTACGGAAGTCAGTATTAAAGCAAGAGAAGAAGCTGAAAGATACGTCCTAAGGGGCGGGCATTTGTTCCGAAGGGAGGAAGGTACTATGCCCAGAAGGGTTGTGTGCGGAAGATCTAGGCAATTAGACGTTATCCAGGCAATGCACGATGGGTTGGCTGGAGATCATCGGTCGTCCAAAGGAACGCTTGCAAAGATAACGCCACTCTATTATTGGCCAGGCATGGCAGGCATGGTCGCCATATACTGCCAGACTTGCCTTATTTGCCAAGAACGAAGCTCGGTGCGGGTCTTCGAGCCACTTAGACCAACGCGGGTGCTAGGGCCGGGGCATCTGGTCCACCTCGACCTTGCGGTCGTGCCTGTATCAACGGATGGGTACAGGTATATCCTGGATGCGCGAGACAACCTGAGTGGGTTCTTGAAGGCAGTCGCCCTCAAGAAAAAGACAGGGAGGAGTGTGGCGGAATGGATAGAAGACTTCTACTTGAGGCATCCGTTCGTCAGGAGGTTTATAGCAGACAATGGGACGGAGTTTGTGAACCAAGAAGTATTGGGGATGCTTAAGAGACTCTGCGTACCAATCAAACTCATCGAGCCGTATCACCCTGAGGCCAATGCACCTGTGGAAAGGGGGCACCGAACCTTGAAGAACACGATTGCAAAGCTCGCAGCGGACCATCTGGGGAACTGGCCTAGGTATCTTAAGCACGTTGTCTTTGCAGAGAATATGACCCCTAAAAGGACAACAGGATGTATCCCGGCAGAGCTTTGGTACGGAGGAGAGATCGACTTTCCTGTGGAAGCCTTGGTACCTACCTGAAATAGGTTAGATGATGATCCGCAAATGACCACCGAAGAGTTAATCGAGGCAAGATGTTAACAAATCCTTAAGAATGAGGAGGTCATGGAAGACATCGCCAACCGGGTACTGGACAGCAGGATGAGGGACAAAGCAAGGTGGGACCAGGTTAAGAATGTCAAAAAGGAGCCACTTCAAGTCGGGGAGATGGTATTGCTAAGGAACTCGGCACTATAAAGTACTTGGTCGGGACAGTTGGGAAGGAGGTTCAAAGGCCCTTACCGGGTCGCCAAGCGGGTGGGACTGAACACCTTCGAACTGGAAGATTTGGATAGAACTGGATTGAAAGGGTCCTTCCCGGGGCAACGATTGGTCAGGTTTCTAAGTCGGGACCCAGTGGAACAATGGCTTCAGGAGGCCGAAGATAAGGAAACTGAGGAGCCACAAGCTAAAGACTGACCACAACTTTGCCCACACTATGGTTTGTCTCTGACCATGTTCATGGGACTGTCATTTTTTTTGGGGACTGGCGCTTTGGCTTGGGCTGACTGGGTTGAAAGGCAGCGTGACTTGGGGGTTTGCAATATCTGGCTTGTGTGACAACGTGAAGGGATGTCTAGGGGATTGTACCATAGTTTTTGACGGGAAAAAAATGGGGTCATCACAAACGACGCATTCGCATGTATAATAGGGGCATGCTGCGAAGGATGTTGGGAGCATTCTGGGAAAAGGGGGGGGACTACCTACCAGACTGGGGGAATGGGTGCATGAGGGACTTTGCGGGTGTTGTTTTGTTATACAGGGTCTAAAAGAAAAGAGAAGATGGAGTTCGGTGACGAAAATGATAGCGGGGCAATCAACAGGCTTACCGGAGGGGAGGAAGCAGGACCAAGCCAAGGGAGGAGAGCGGCAAAGAGAAAGTTGTATATAGGACTCATGGGTGGCCCAGTGGTAGGCAGGGGAGGAAGGAAATGCTTGTGTTGGAAACCCTCACCCCTCCGCGAGGGAGAAGGTATTGAAATCTCGTCTGACAGTGAGGGAGGGAAGGAAAAGGCAGAAGTGGAAGAGGGAGGCAATGCAGAGATGGGAAATAAGGTTCAGGTCTCTGACGAGGAAGGAGTTAACAGGGGCAAGCGACGTGAGACTTGGCATGGGGAAAGCGAGGGGGGCCAAGACATGCGCGACGAATATGAGGAGGGTGAGGAAAGAAGGGAGAGCCCGCTTGAAGGACGAAGCGGCCACGACAGTTGCGAGGGGTATGGAACGGGGACAAAGATTCCTTTTACCTACGATCCAAAGAACCTTGCAGGTGGATATAGCCCCATACAGACAGAAGAAGAGGAGGAGGAGGAGGAGGATGTGCGAGAAGTCATAGAAATCAGCAGCATTGGTTTCAGCAATGGACCAATGTGATCAGGCACGAATGGATTATCAAGACTCGGGAACTCGCAAGGGCAGGGGTGGAAGCCACACCACTGGATTTTTTCAACGAGGCAGAGTTACGGAAAATTGTAAGGATGAAAAGAGAAATCGAGACCTACGGCCTGGGGGTTAGAAAGCCTGCCGAGGAACAGGGTGGATAAGGAACTGGGCAAGACGAGGCGCAAGGCAGCAATAGGAACTAGGTGTTGACTTAGCATTGAAAAGGATCACTTCTTTTCTGTCTGCGGAGACATGATAAGGACGAAAACGTGTACAGTATGGGCAAGCTTGCTAAGGATGAAGTGAAAAAGAGGGCCAGCTAAGGCTGTGTCACGATAAGATAGAAGATAGTTTTTTAGGCTACTTTTTGGATGAGCTACCTTGGGTACATAAGACAAAGACATGGGATTTGGGATGAGACCAATTGGGAGAGGGTGTATTGTGAATTCTGGATGGAATAAGGATTATGCTTTTGAGAGGGGAAAACCGTTAGTACGAATTGACGAGCGAACCATGGCATTGAATGATTGGTCGAGTACAAGAGAGGTTAGGGAACCTATGGGTGAAGGGGCGTTGTCGCGCCCCCACTGCTTCAAGGGTTTGGTTGGATATCCTTCCCCGGACCGAGCTTAGTGGGTTGGAGGACTGGCAGGCTGTCACGTAGGATTTTGATAGGTATAAAAAATAGAGGTGTATTCAGAGGCAGTCACACTTAGTCTTACAGCCGAGTAGTCAGGGTTATCCCTCCTGCCAGCGGCGACACGGCTTAGAGTGAGGCGTTCGGGTTTATCGCCTGCACCTGACCCCGTATAAAGGTTAGACCCAAGGTCACTGGAGTCCCTATCATTCAGGAGTCCTTCAAGCTGCCTTGAGTGTAACCATTATAAAATAAGGAGGAAAATAACAAACATGCATCATAGAGCAATTGACAGAATGAAAAGACCAGAAACCAGACTCTGCAAGAGCATGACCAGAGATAAAAGACTGAAGAGCAGGGAGCAGCCATCGGAGGACTGCAGTCACTAATAAATAACAATGTCGTAATACATCATAGTGACTGAAAAGAGAGAACCTCAATCAATGTTAATAAGCGGTAACCCCCTCGTGAGTAAGTGCTGTCGTCTGGGACTCCATATCTGGCGCCTCGTCATTGAGAACTCGCGTGGCTATCGACTCTGGAACCACGTACCTGATGTCGAGAGGCGCTGCTGGATCAATCTTGCATATATAGGCCATGCATCTATACATCTCCTCGTCTGCGACGCTCCTGAGGTAAAGCTCCTCCGCAAGAATGATATCGCCTGAAGCTCCAATCAATATCTCAATAAGTCCTCTCCCACCAGAGTAGATGTAGGAAACCTCGAGAAAGCGATCTCCGTAAAGAGGCTTTCGATAAGCCTGCATAGCAAAGTCTGTCCCGACCAAATGACTATAGCTATCTCCGAGGTCTGGGACTGGACCCTCCCCTCTTGGGGGACCAATAACTGTCTCAGACCTAGGGTCGTCTGACATGTAGGAGTCAATCACCCTCAAGAAGATACCGTGCAAGAAGATGTGCGATCCTCCTCAATATCGCCCTCCGACATCTCCGCGCACTGGTCTCCAGCGCTCTTGTCGCCGTCCACAAACTCACCCCCTGTGAGTGTCCCAGTCGAAATAATCGCCAAGATCAAGGTCACTCACAGAACAGGGTTCCAAATCTGACTCATCTGCCTCTGATTTCGGGACACATGTAGTGATTGGGACTCCGGATCTGGTTATGTCTCTCTGGATCCGGTCGTTCTTCCGTCTCTTCTCCTTGCTGCGGGGCTCACTAAGGGGCTTGGGGTTGCATCCGTCAAAATCGAAGAGCACACCCCCAGGAGGTGAAGGTACGCGAGGAAACACCACGTGCAGCCAGTTGTCCTTCCAACAGCTCTCCCTACGAAATATGTAATCCGCAATCCTGTCGTATGTGGTGCCCTTCACTCCCGTCTCTGCCCCTTCACCGAGTAGGTGATCACGAGCGTGTCTCGAAGTCGAGGACTCGTTAGCCCTGATAGTGAAACTCTGATGTCCCACATATCTGTAGCAGAACCTCTCGATCAATCTACCCCACTTAGGGTTAGTCTCACGACGTCGGGCCAGCTTGGATGGAATGCACGCTCTCTAATGCAAATACTCCCTCCGAGACCTGGCCAGATAGCAATCAGCAACTCAATGTAAAGACCTGTCTAAATGGCCTGACTGCAACTCGATATAGGGCCCGCCTGAATGGGCCCGACTGAACAGCAACTCAATATAGAGCCCGCCTGAATGGGCTCGGCTGAACAGCAGCTATCTCATAGGAAAGGGCCCGCCTGAAGGGGCCTGGCTGAAAACTGCAACAATCTCGAGAGGTGGGCCCGCCTGAAGGGGCCCGGCTGAATAGCAACAATCTCAAGTAGGCCCGCTTGAAGGGCCCGGCTGAACTGCAACAATCTCAAGTAGGCCCGCCTGAAGGGCCCGACTGAACAACAACAATCTCAAGTAGGCCCGCCTGAAGGGCCCGGCTGAACAGCAACTCAATCAGTGAATCATCTCATGCACAGGGACCAATCATAAATGCTGAATATACTGGGGCTAGACTGAACCAGGTCATCTGTGCAGGGACTGAACTGGCAATGCTCCCCGTGCGAGGGAAAATAACACGTGCATGAGGCGTTGCCGATCAGCAGAGGTGTAAATCAACGGGTACGTGAAGGCAAATCATCCCATCTAGCAACCCTATGCTCAGGGGCACATGGGCTCGCACTCAAAAATCAATAACCAGCCTGGGCGCACACATACAGCGCAAGTGCACATGGGCGCGCACTCAAATAACTATATCCAACCTGGGCGCACACGGGCGCGCACTCTAACAGCGATGTCAAGCCTGGGCGTGCATGGGCGCTCACTCTAACTGCTATGCCGAGCTAGGGTGCGCATGGGCGCGCACTCTAACTGCAATGTCAAGCTTGGGCGCGCACTCTAACTGCTATGCCGAGCTAGGGCGCGCATGGGCGTGCACTCTAACTGGAATGTCCTGCTTGGGTGCGCATGGGGGCGCACTCTAACTGCAATGCCATGCTTGGGCTCGCATGGGCGCGCACTCTATCTGCAATGCCAAGCTTGGGCGCGCATGGGCGCGCACTCTATCTGCAATATCTGGTCCGGGCGCGCGCGGGCGCGCAACTTAAAATATAATATCTAGTCTGGGCGCGCGTGGGCGCACACTTAAAATGTAATATCTGGTCTGGGCGCGCGCGGGCGCACACTTAAAATGTAATATCTGGTCTGGGCGCGCGCGGGCGCACACTTAAAATGTAATATCTGGTTTG